TGAGGGTTGGCATCAACTCGAACTACTGCAGCTTCTAGGTATAACCTATAAGCCAGCAATGTAGCAGTATCTTTCTGTGCAGGTCATTTCAGGATACCTACAGCCTGTGAGAGCCTACTTGGCTGGTGATTTTTGAAGTACCTAACATTCACACTAGGTTATGAAAGCATGAATCTTCTGGAAGAAGAGACATATCCAACCACTCTGGCTACAATTAGAAACTTATAGATAAAAGCTGTTGAGTAGGCCTGCCCTGAGCATAGAGTGCCAAGCCACTAGTAGCCAGGGTATCTCGACACTCCTGTTGCTCAACAACTCTATAGCAGTTGCTCAGACACTTCAGAAGCTCCACAGCTTAGACAGGTTGATCTGACTATCTGATAGAAAGACAAAGCTATCAGTGCTTAAAGGATTTACATCAACGCCAGCAACTTCTGACCACATTCTCTGCAGTCCTTGGCAAAAGCCTCGAGACAAACCTGAAAAAGAAGATTGAAATGAAGACAGGAAAATTAATAGGGTTTCATGTAGCTAACATCAGCAATACATTTTTCCCTGCATGTTTTCAGTGACCTTTATGGTCAACATCACCCAATGTCTTCAAATACAGCAATTGGTATCTGCAGTAAACCTGAAGTGTGTTCCAGCAACAAAAACCCAATGCTGAACACCACACTCTAGCTAGAGCTTACAACTGCTTGGAGCACATTATTTGTGAATTTGTACCCTAGCACTGTTAATTCAGAATCTAGCAGTGAAGAGTGAAGTTCAAAAGCACTGCATAACATGAAGATAGGCTTCCTCTGCATCTTCAGTTGCTCTTAGTTTAATGAGGAGCACCACACTCATTTATCTGTGTTGCAGCAAATGAACATTTACAGAGGTCTATATTTGAAGAGAGCCTATCCCAAAACCACTTTCAGAACAAATTATTTCCAGTCTTAATCTATCCTTTTATAGCAGATTTCATGGACACAATGAGGTCTGCTCTGTTCCTCAGGGCACACCACTTCCACTAGAGGAAGTTATATCTGAAATAATTGCATTTAAGAGCATCCTAGTATTCTGAGAACAAGGAATCCTAAAGGCACAAGTAGATACCAGTATTTCAAAATATCCCTTAGGTTTTCTTCACCAGTAACGTAACAGCTACTCTCACCTGAAGGCTTCTGTGTATAGTGCTAAGCAGCAAGTACACCTATAAGTTATCTTCATTTGGAACATTAGTGCCTCTACAGACAATAAGCCCAATTAGTATGGTATTATGCATTGGGCATGTATGTAGTTAATACTAAGGTAGCTTACAAAACAGTGCATCTCAAAGATCAGAAATAATTTTTAAGAGCACACTACAGATATTCATGAGGTAAATGCATTCATTCACAAGGTGAGTAAAACTGTTCCATGAATTTCAGTCCCAAAGTGCCTAACTATTTCAGAGATTCAAATTTCTATAGCAACATTCTCATTAAGCACCAGGAAATATTGGATCAGACCTACTTCTATTGCACCATGATTTGAATTGTAATTTTAAGAACCCTGTTTGAAAGTCTGTTTTTCAAAGCAGCATTCTTTCAGGCCATGACTGAACAGCATTTGAGCTCCTAAGGAAAAAATAACAAGTTCCTTCTTCCATTATGATCATGAATAACCAATTTCAGCCACCTTTGGAAAGGAACCCTGGACAACAGTATGGAGGTTTCAGCAGAGAGTTGGGGTAAGCATAACCTTTATGCAAGATAAAGCAATGAGTAGAAATAGCTCTGGAATCTTTGCATGAGTACAATAGGTCTTTCATCTGTAAAGATCCAGCTTAGGCCATCAGCTAGTCTCCTCCACCTCAGTTGGAGAAGCATGTATAAAAATGCAGTAATACCCACAGTTCCCCTGTGTTATTATTGCCTGCAAGTCATGTTATTGATTGGTCAGAGGCACCTGGAGCCCTGCTAGAAATGGCCACCCACGCTGGACATTAACCAGTGTTCCTTGATTAACAGGGGCAGCACGCTCCTTTATCTTCTTCACTGGGAACTCTGTAGGTCTACCTCCTTCTGTAGGAGATGGAAGGAACATATTGGCAAGAAGTCTGCCACATGTGGTATATTTTTACTGCAAAACAGTCCCAAACTCTCATGCAACCAAAATCTGAAATCAGTGGTGAGATTGCAGCTTTACCTTCCTACACGCCTTACAGAATGTGCTTACAAGTGTCACTTCCTTGTCAAGCGAGTTCAAATCTTAAGCTATGTTTTAGTCCCAAAAGCTCTTTTGGTGGCACCGTGGACTCAGTGCCAGGATCGAGTACTACCATAATTTGACCTCTCAGCATCTGAGCTGCTGTGGTCCTATCTTCCCCATCAGCCCTCCATTGTGTGCTGTCACCAGCTTATATCAGAAACAGGTGCCCAACAAACCAGCTCAGGAATCTGCCCAGTCCCAGGTTTAATAGAAGTTCAAATACAAAGGATATAGCCACTTCCTCCTCTGAAAGGTTGGTTTCTCTTAACAGCCAAGCTAAAGCTCCCACTCTTTTGTTACAGGCAAAAAGGCCGACCCAACGGGCAAAGGTCAGCCTTACGGAAAAATGAAGTTTTTAAACTTACCTTTGTTACCAGAAGAATAAAGCATACTAAGTGATAAGGCCAAGAACGCTATTGCAACTAGAGTTTATTTCAACTAGAAAGGAAGATGTTTGGTATACAAAACAAGTGTGAACATGTAATTTATGTAAGGTGTTATAAAGACAGCTCCTTTTATTTAACCTCAGTATTCCACAAGTCAGAAAGATTTAAATGTCAGCAAGATTAAATCTTGCTGACATACAGCAAATTCAGTACTGTTCTTGCGTTTATAGATTGTATGCTTCCAAGCTATAAAGCTAGTGAGAAAGAGGGTACAAGACTTTTAGACCCAAAAAGTTAACTCAAACTTAGCATATTGAGCTAGATTGCCAGCAAGTAAAATGCCACAGTACTCAATCAGAACCAGCCAATTCCCTTAATCAATCAAGATACATTCCTCCTTCTAATCAAAGTAATCAAGGCAGTTAAAGTTCTAGGTAAGGGTGGGGAAAACCATATTCTTGCACCAGTAATTACAACTCCTACAGAGCCCCTATTTCTCAGGAAGCTCAGTTACCTGGACCTACTACCAAGCAATCACAGGCATCAAATCTATTAACAAATGTGGACAGGAAAGTAGGACCAAAGGAATTCACAGTAAGCTGACTTGAAGCTGCCTCCAAATTTGAGATTTTTATGCCACGCTAGAGATATGCGGGGCTCAGCTTAATTCCAGCCTTCAGAAAAAAATGTTGGTTTAACTTCATTCACTTAAAAGACTGAGGTAAAAAGGTGCTACGAGGACCTTAGCCAAGTTTCATGATTTTGTCCTCAGAAATTACATCAGGAATCAACACGATCAGAGGATGCAGACCAGTAATAAGAGACCTCATGCTATGATTACCATGCAACTCCACTCCCACTGCTTGAAAAAAAACAAAGCAACCCACCAATGGCATCACTGTTGTCACCAGCAATTTGACAGTGCCATTTTTCCACTGGATGATGCACACTGCACAGTAAGCCAATTATATTAACATAATAAGCACTGTAAAGAAGCTGCACCGTGACTCCAGAGGGCTCCCAGTTCAGCACCAGCACTTGCTTTAACGCAGTCAGATGCTCTGCCTTCCCCTGAGCACCATCAGCAATAGTCTGCTGAGTCATAGAGCCCTGTAGGGACACTGTACTTGCAGGCCTTGCAACTCCTAAACTGCATTCAGCCTGCGGCAGAGCAGACCACTTCAACAGTCTCCAGAGAGCAATGCAGCATTGTCAGCCCACATTAAAACCACCTGGCAAACACCAGCTTCCTTTAGGTTTATCTTGTTTCCCTGGGGCTTTAATTTGAAGTATATAATATCTCAGTGGGCAGTATAAGGTAGCAAAACTCAAGCTGTAAAAAAAATATTCACAATTCCTCTGTGCAAATAAGGAGAGTTTCCCCACTGCCAACACTCATGCCATAAAACCATCACAGGTAATCCGTACAGAATACTTAGCACATTTGCTAGCACCTTGTCATACCACAGAAATTCAGACATAGGCAGCATTGGCTTTATTAGTTTGGCTTCAAGGTGTTCAACTTTGACTTCTCAAAAAAGAATAGTTATCTTAAAAGCAGGACAGGTAAGAAAATATTTCAGTGTAAATGGTCACAACAGCTACTCCTCTTAAACATTTTGAACTGGCATAGGTTAAAGGTTACTAGTTCCAGATCACACTTTTCACCAGTGTGGTGTCTCCACTTACTTATCTGAGCATCTGTTTGCCTTATAACACTTAAGTTCTAGTACATGCACTCTTTTCAGAGAAAAAAGCTTTAAAAGTTACAAGCTCAGAGCAATGCCATACCAGCTCTCAGAGAGTGCTTATTTCAAGACTCAGCTCTCAAGTTTAAACTGCAAGTGATCATGAGTGCACCACACCATACTAAGCATACAGATGCGCAAGTATTCAAATTACTTTCTTCCAAGACTGGTAAATCAGAACCTTGCTACCAGAGCAAGCTAGACTTCTAATTCAGAAATATAACCCTGTAGAAAAACAAAGCATGACTAAGAACCTTTTTAATCATGCACAAATCAGTGTTGGCAGCTGAGAGTTGAGCTCTTCACTGGTTTTACTTGGTTGTGATCATTTGAGTATAAAGCTTACATTTTTCTTGGATTTTCATCAAGATTCAAACATTAGAAAAAGCCTGTTCTGTTTTTACTAAAAACCCCTTGCATCTAGAAGTGAAAAATGCTTAGTAAGTACCCAGTCTTGTTACTAAGATAACTACAGTACCCATTGGGGGGACCTCTTAAGCACAAGAGAAAATACTTGTCATTGACCTTCAAGGTAACAAATCTTTATTGAGCTGGCACAGCAAGAAGGCAGCTGCTGCATGTAATTTAATAAGCAGAGACAGTGAAAAAACAAAAAAAGTAAGCTAACCTTATGTTTAGCATGCTGAAATTTTGACCCTTCCTGTTCTTCATGCTGCACCGAGTTAGCTCTCTCCCTCACACTTCTATACCCAGGACTGGGTATAATGTACTCTTTTCCTATGTCGATGTCTTTCATCTTCTGCAAACGCCAGGGTTTACATGTGTATTTTCACTTTGAAGATCTGAAAAAAACATCATTTCATTATATGTGGGTCCAACACCAGTTACTTTAGTCAACTATTTTAAAAGTTTATTTTTAAATTAAAATAAGAAAGTAGTCATACAGTACTGTTGTACTAACTTCTTCACCAGCACCACTCTGGGATCCCACCAAAGACTTCAGCTTCTCCTAAACTAGTTTAGGCATACCCTGAGGTAACAAGTGAGTACCATGATCTTCAAAGCATCAGAAAATACTGTCTTACTCCCCCTCTTAGAACTCTAAGATATGATTATGCAACATGATAGATAGAACTAATAACTAAACTTAGTTAAAACTTGGAGAAATTTCTGACTTGGAAAAATCAAATCCCTGAAAATCTTCCATTAACATCCAAAATTGTACATATGTAACAACATTCTAGTTGAAAGATTTGCAGAATATAGCTCTCTGCAAATACCACAACATGATGAAATGAGCCATTCTACATATGCTCTGGAGAGGAAAAAAGTCCTCCTCTATAAGCTTACTCGTTTACTCCACAGGCTTGAACTAGCCTCAAGTATGTACATGCACAGGAGGGAGCCACATCTTCAGTACTGCAGCTTCTCCTCAACTATCAAATCCCCCTGTAAGGTCAGGGGGAGAATCAAAGTCCCCCCCAAAAGTTCCCTCACCCTGCGATACTATGCTTTATAGCTCTGCTTCATTGCGTTCTACCACTCGCCTTAAACTAACACCATGGAAGAAGTCCGATTCCTATTAGTCAGAATCGGCATCCGCAGGTTGGGATTGGTGCATCGAGCTGCCACCTTTCCACCGCCTGCAGAAAGGGCCACCTTCCCCCATCTTCTCACACGAGCCTCCTCCAACGCAGCCATCCAGCCGCTCTCTAGCGGGCAGCGGCAG